GTTAGAGCCGATTTACGTCAAAATTTGGGTCACGGAGCGGCGGAAAGGGGGCTATTCTAGCTCCCCGGGCCTGGGGCCGCGCAGCAACATAGCTCCATCTCTCTCCAGTGTGGCCCTTGCCGCCTGCCGGCTGCGTGTCTGAGACCCCTGGTCTAGAGTGTGGTCAGGTGGCGCAGGCGGTTGGGTGCTGAGTCGCGGCCCAGCTCGGCTCCATGTCACGGGATCAACACCTGACTTTCTGGGCAATTTTTTTAGTTTTTTTTTTAATGTTGATACTCCAGCCAATGAAGACTATCTAGGAATGTTCGGGCTGTGAATATAAACTGACCTGCAAAGCCAGGTCGCTGTGGGATAAATAGTTTTCGAGAAATCGGTGTTCTACGAATTTGCCCTTAGGACGCTACTTTGAATCGAAATAAAACTGGTGTCCCTGTGCGTGAGGTTATCGCGCACTTTGGGATCCGTTCAGTTTGACTAGAGTGAGTAATATACAGCCGAAATCTGGACGCTGTAGCTCCAATAGGTCCAGAGCTAGAGCCGGTTTACGTTCAAATTTCTGTTAGGGAGTAGCCGAATGGGGGCTCTTCTGGCTCCCCGGGCCGGAGGCACGCGCTCCCCGCCGTTTGACGTGTCTGCCTACTCTATCGGTGTCTGATGGCTGTTCTGGTGTGTGGTCTGGTGGCTCAGGAAGTTGAATGCTGGATCGCTGCTCGTTTCGGATATAAAACTGGTCTTTCGATGCGTGAGGTGATCGCCCACTTCAGGATCTGTTCAGTTTTACTAGAGTAATCTACAGGCGAAATCGGGGCGCTTTGGCTCAAATTCTTTCCGAGAAAATTGCTATCAAAACGCTCAGAAGACCCTCACCCCGCTTTCCCTTGAGCGCGTAGAACTTCCACTCTTCCAGCTGACCCTTGATAGTGCAGCGTGTAGCAGCGCGTGTGACCGTCACAAATGCCGTCTAGGTATCTCTTTAATTAACACCCCGACGTGATATCGGAGGCATCATCCTGAAAGTATGTTCCGCCATTCGTCGTAACGAAAGTTCAGTTCAGCCCAAAGCGCCTGATGGGTAGGCAACATGTTGCCAGCAGTGCATGTGTGTACTGCGGGTTGGTCTACCCCGAGTCTCGCAGGCGCCGAGCTGTCAATTTGTCAGGCTAATTTTTGTTAATACTTCTTACAATTACAGAGAAAACGATAGTAATTTTGCATGACCAGAATTTTAAATTTAATCACCATACGAAAAACTCACGAGGACATCATATTGACATTGAAAGGACTAATTTGGTCACGAGAAAGGTCAAAACTTAGGCCAAAACTCAGTCATTTTGAGCAAACATGGCTTGCTCGACCAAAAAACCTTCGATACTCTTTCTCTTCCTCTCTCTCTGGCTTGCTCGACCATTATAGTCCCAGGACTAGTGCTAGTTTTAACACTTCGCTGGGCATATCACACTGGCGGTTCTGCGAGTATTTCAAACTGGCCGCGGGTAAGTTACACCATATAAACAAATGACTGACGTTATGAAATTTGAAGTTGGAAACGTTTTAAGGTTATGGTTTCGTGTGTTTCGTCGTCGGTTTCCCTCACTTGTGTTTTTAACTGATGTTGATCAAGATTTATTGACTTTTGATCATGTTTGTACGAACGGCCGTTGTGAGGCTCCTCAATCAGTCGAGAACAATGATTGGCACAAGTGAACATGGTCGCGCTTTAAAATTAGTATACTCAAATGTGATATGCGGTGTTGACAGACTCAGTTCTGCTCCCACAAGGTGTTATTCAGAAAATAGCAGCAAAAATAACAAGTCTTTTCCGCAGACTGAAATATCTCGAGAAAAAAAATCACTAGCAGAAGATGAAAATGTTGAAATGTTCAATTTGGAGGGAGAGCGTAAAAAATTACAACAGGCCACAGATTTGTCTAAATATGATGTTTTCAAGGATGAAGATTCACAATTAATCTTAGACGTTGAAGAAGAAAAGACATTTTCAAGAATAGCAAGAGCTGTACAGCCTGAGAGAAACGAGTTTGATGGGGTGTCTCTTGAACGTGAGGACCCTTTCCCCATCCTTATTTATTCAAATAATTTTACTTACAATAAATTAACATCTTTTGAATTTCAGGTGGGGTCCAGGGAGTATTTGATGTTACTGAGCTGGTGTCAATTCTTAAAAAGCAGAGTGCTCAGGAGGTTGTTGTTATTGAAATGGCGACAGATTTAGGATATGCAGACCATATGGTTATTGTGTCTGGAAAGTCAACTCGTCATTTAAGGGCCCTAGCTGACTATGTTCGCAGATTATTTAAGAAAAAAATGCATCCGGATGACAAAATTCCAATAATTGAAGGGAGAAGAAACAAAAGTGATGAGTGGCTTGCTCTTGATTTGGGTAAGATAAATCATTCAACTTATCATTGTATTTACTGTCTGCGTAATGTAATTTGTTGCACTCACACTTTTACGAATTATCAACAGGTAATATTATTCTACATATATTCTCTAAAAAGACTCGTGAAGTCTATGACCTAGAATCATTATGGACACTGGGCCCAGAATATGACCCCCATCTCAATGCAGTTGAAGATCCTTTGGATGCCATAATGAGCAAACATTCTACCTACCTAGCTGATCTTGAGCCTGCAGATAATAAATCTATGTAGCTAAATTTATTGTGACCATGAAATACTTTTGATGGGAAAGCATATTTAGGTGTCAAAAGGTGAAAACTGTTGGCCTGTAGTCATTATTATTAACTTATATAACTTTTATTTAATGTACATACAACAACAAAAGACCACTATCTAAAAAGTTTTATCTCTTCCAAATAATCAGCAGTAAAACAGGCATAATATAACATTCAAAGAAGATAGTTGAAAGTGACTGTATTAAAATAATACTCTGGAAAAATGGCATGGAGTTCATTTTTTATGAATAAAGATTTTCTAATTTCAACTACCTTATCAGGTATTAGTGATTTGATTACAGTACAGATCAAAACTATAATTACAAACACTCATTCATACATAGGACCGTCTTAAAATTATTGTTTAACCAACAGCAGAAGTCACAAGTTCTGCAACGTCTGGGTTGCTTGCTCTAACTGTGAGCTGCATGGTAACACCATCAGCAAGAGCAAGTTTAGCACGAACAAGTACATCGTGACCACCTCGGAACACACCTAAGGCAAAAAAAAATTACTCAAGATAAAATCATTTTATCACACAGAGCAAAGTAATTGCATCAATATAAGATCAAAAGGAACAGCGTACCTGCTAAATACAAAGTATGTGAACTCTTTCCCTCCTGAACACGCTCTGATCGGTCAGCAGGTTGTAAGCCAAGGAACTGCACAATGTTAGTTGAAGCTTCTTGTAAGGAGCGCATACTAGTCAATGCATAAGTGTCTTCTAGTTCACATAAGTTAGCAGCCTCTTCCCAGGCAGCTGCCCAATTACCCTTCCAAACACGCTGCACTTGGTCAGCCAGGTTTACTTCAACATCTTCAACCTAAAATAAATATTTTGATTACCCAAAAAATCTTTATAATAAATGTTATTTTCTATTCCATGAGCCTAATCTTACCATGTACGTGTCATCGTAGCCATCATCTGAGTCAGGCAAGCCTGTAGCAGGATCACAATCTTTGACCATGTATGCTAAGGTAGCACCAAATGTACCTGAGATACAAGACAAAATATTTTAAAAAATCAGAAAATTGTGAGTACAAATATAGTATGACCACTATGAGGTCACAGTTTAGATTATTTAGATAACACATTATCATGGCTATAATTTTATTAAAATGTTAATGTAGTATTACCAGTTGAGGCTGTGAGTTCTTCAGGGAATTCAAGCAAACAAAATGCAGAGCAAGTTTCATTGTAAGGGAGTTTAGGAATAGGTAGTTCTCGTAAAATTCTATATCCCTCTGCTGGTTCAAGTGAGACACGGACATTTTCTAAAAGTTGATCGCTTAGAGTATTGAGGCAGTCAAACTGTAATACAGAACAAAATTACTGAGCAATCTCTGTTTACAGCAATAACCAAATTAAATGGTATCGCCTACTGCACAAACCTGCAGTAAAAGGTGTCTAGCAAAGCAGTGCTTTATGCAGCGAACAACATATTCAGTTTCAGACTCCGTAAGTTCAACAGGTTCCGAGGTGCGGAAAATTGGTCCAAGTTGAGGGAGGAGAGGAGCAAATTCTGGAATGTTTGATAGTAGTTCAAGGGCGGACTCTTCTTTGGAAACACCCAGCCTCTGTGGAGCTGCTGCCGGGAAAAAATGTGTATTGAATACCTTATTAATAATAATTACAGAATCAACTTGTAAAGAAAAGGGTGTTAGAGGTAATATACCTGGAGTGGATAAGAGTGTCCCTTCCGGAGCTCCTTTTTGAGGAGCATTTTCTAGTACCAAAGGCTCAACAGCAGCTAAAGGAACTGACTTCATATCAAATGGTGTGTCCGAAGCATTAAGGGTATATTGGTGAAGTGACTTTTCTAATGCAGGAATAGAAACCTGAGAGAGGGAGAAAAATGGATTACTATACAAATGAGACTTTGTGTTGGGTAATGTTTTACGCCTGCATTGTTCAAAACTGTGGAAAAAAATTTAAAAACCAACCTGAAGGCTTTCAGTAATATAGCTGTTGTACAGATTCCTTTTACTGAGGGCAAGGATTGTGTAGTAATAAGTAGCCCGATCACGAACTTCATCATCAGAATCCATCTGGCAACGTGCCAACAGTACTTGAACATTTTCAAGTAAATCAGGGCACTGAGCTCCAAACTGAGCCATGGCTGCCACAGCCGCACCACGTACTGCTGCATTTTCCAATATTACTCTGTTGTATATAAAGCGTATGTACCTGAAAGCAGAAAAATAGTAGTAAATAACACACTAACCCTTTTACCCTTTCTACGATCCCTCAATGGAAACATACCTTGAGGGTTGTTTGGTCTTTGGCCCCTCCCTTCCTAACAAGTGGAGAATACGCACAGCCAAACTAGTGTGTTCACAGTCCTCAATAAACTCACAGAGATGTGCCAAGCCTGTCAAAATAGATAATAAAATAACATTCTATACAGGTGGAAGAAAAAAATATTCCAAAACACTAACCTGTCTCTTTGGCTTCTGGATTGCTCTCAATAATAGTAATGATTGTGTCAGCTATAGATGCCTTGTAGTCTAGACCACCTTCATCACGCAACATTGCTGATAAGAAATTCATGAGCACACTGTGCTTTCTGGGAAATTTGGTGCACAAAGCGCGGATTGCCTGATAAAATGATCACAAAATTAAAGTTGTAGAAGTATTGAAGCAAGGTGCAATATGCTATATGTCTCTCAGATAATTTCAGGACACCAACCTGAACAACAACTATTTTAAATTCATCACTAATTTCACTGACAAATGAAGCTATTTGCTTCATGAGACGATCTACAGAGGACTCAGCTCCTGTTTTCAGAAGTGTAGTGATAGCAAGAGTAGCTATAGAACGGTTAGAATCTGTTATCAGGTTTTCTAAGTCCAAGTTGCAAGCAGTAACAGCTGATGGATGTGACATTGCCACCTACAAAAGAGTAATTTGCACCAGAGTAACACACAAATAAATATTCTAAAAACAAACAACATAAACTAAGAAAAATATTAAAAGATAATAGGGAATCTACCTGATTCAATGTTCGCACACCTACCTAGCTGATCTTGAACCTGCTGATAATAAATCTACATAGCTAAATTTATTGTGATCATGAAATACTTTTGATGGGAAAGCATATTTAGGTGTCAAAAGGTGAAAGCCGTTGGCCTGTAGTCATTATTATTAACTTATATAACTTTTATTTAATGTACATACAACAACAAAAGACCACTATCTAAAAAGTTTTATCTCTTCCAAATAATCAGCAGTAAAACAGGCATAATATAACATTCAAAGAAGATAGTTGAAAGTGACTGTATTAAAATAATACTCTGGAAAAATGGCATGGAGTTCATTTTTTATGAATAAAGATTTTCAAATTTCAACTACCTTATCAGGTATGAGTGATTTGATTACAATACAGATCAAAACTATAATTACAAACACTTATTCATACATAGGACCGTCTTAAAATTATTGTTTAACCAACAGCAGAAGTCACAAGTTCTGCAACGTCTGGGTTGCTTGCTCTAACTGTGAGCTGCATGGTAACACCATCAGCAAGAGCAAGTTTAGCACGAACAAGTACATCGTGACCACCTCGGAACACACCTAAGGCAAAAAAAAATTACTCAAGATAAAATCATTTTATCACACAGAGCAAAGTTATTGCATCAATATAAGATCAAAAGGAACAGCGTACCTGCTAAATACAAAGTATGTGAACTCTTTCCCTCCTGAACACGCTCTGATCGGTCAGCAGGTTGTAAGCCAAGGAACTGCACAATGTTAGTTGAAGCTTCTTGTAAGGAGCGCATACTGGTCAATGCATAGGTGTCTTCTAGTTCACATAAGTTAGCAGCCTCTTCCCAGGCAGCTGCCCAATTACCCTTCCAAACACGCTGCACTTGGTCAGCCAGGTTTACTTCAACATCTTCAACCTAAAGTAAATATTTAGATTACCCAAAAAATCTTTATAATAAATGTTATTTTCTATTCCATGAGCCTAATCTTACCATGTACGTGTCATCGTAGCCATCATCTGAGTCAGGCAAGCCTGTAGCAGGATCACAATCTTTGACCATGTATGCTAAGGTAGCACCAAATGTACCTGAGATACAAGACAAAATATTTTAAAAAATCAGAAAATTGTGAGTACAAATATAGTATGACCACTATGAGGTCACAGTTTAGATTATTTAGATAACACATTATCATGGCTATAATTTTATTAAAATGTTAATGTAGTATTACCAGTTGAGGCTGTGAGTTCTTCAGGGAATTCAAGCAAACAAAATGCAGAGCAAGTTTCATTGTAAGGGAGTTTAGGAATAGGTAGTTCTCGTAAAATTCTATATCCCTCTGCTGGTTCAAGTGATACACGGACGTTTTCTAAAAGTTGATCGCTTAGAGTATTGAGGCAATCAAACTGTAATACAGAACAAAATTACTGAGCAATCTCTGTTTACAGCAATAACCAAATTAAATGGTATCGCCTACTGCACAAACCTGCAGTAAAAGGTGTCTAGCAAAGCAGTGCTTTATGCAGCGAACAACATATTCAGTTTCAGACTCCGTAAGTTCAACAGGTTCCGAGGTGCGGAAAATTGGTCCAAGTTGAGGGAGGAGAGGAGCAAATTCTGGAATGTTTGATAGTAGTTCAAGGGCGGACTCTTCTTTGGAAACACCCAGCCTCTGTGGAGCTGCTGCCGGGAAAAAATGTGTATTGAATACCTCATTAATAATAATTACAAAATCAACTTGTAAAGAAAAGGGTGTTAGAGGTAATATACCTGGAGTGGATAAGAGTGTCCCTTCCGGAGCTCCTTTTTGAGGAGCATTTTCTAGTACCAAAGGCTCAACAGCAGCTAAAGGAACTGACTTCATATCAAATGGTGTGTCCGAAGCATTAAGGGTATATTGGTGAAGTGACTTTTCTAATGCAGGAATAGAAACCTGAGAGATGGAGAAAAATGGATTACTATACAAATGAGACTTTGTATTGGGTAATGTTTTATGCCTGCATTGTTCAAAACTGAGGAAAAATTTTTAAAAACCAACCTGAAGGCTTTCAGTAATATAGCTGTTGTACAGATTCCTTTTGCTGAGGGCAAGGATTGTGTAGTAATAAGTAGCCCGATCACGAACTTCATCATCAGAATCCATCTGGCAACGTGCCAACAGTACTTGAACATTTTCAAGTAAATCAGGGCACTGAGCTCCAAACTGAGCCATGGCTGCCACAGCCGCACCACGTACTGCTGCATTTTCCAATATTACTCTGTTGTATATAAAGCGTATGTACCTGAAAGCAGAAAAATAGTAGTAAATAACACACTAACCCTTTTACCCTTTCTACGATCCCTCAATGGACACATACCTTGAGGGTTGTTTGGTCTTTGGCCCCTCCCTTCCTAACAAGTGGAGAATACGCACAGCCAAACTAGTGTGTTCACAGTCCTCAATAAACTCACAGAGATGTGCCAAGCCTGTCAAAATAGATAATAAAATAACATTCTATACAGGTGGAAGAAAAAAATATTCCAAAACACTAACCTGTTTCTTTGGCTTCTGGATTGCTCTCAATAATAGTAATGATTGTGTCAGCTATAGATGCCTTGTAGTCTAGACCACCTTCATCACGCAACATTGCTGATAGGAAATTCATGAGCACACTGTGTTTTCTGGGAAATTTGGTGCACAAAGCGCGGATTGCCTGATAAAATGATCACAAAATTAAAGTTGTAGAAGTATTGAAGCAAGGTGCAATATGCTATATGTCTCTCAGATAATTTCAGGACACCAACCTGAACAACAACTATTTTAAATTCATCACTAATTTCACTGACAAATGAAGCTATTTGCTTCATGAGACGATCTACAGAGGACTCAGCTCCTGTTTTCAGAAGTGTAGTGATAGCAAGAGTAGCTATAGAACGGTTAGAATCTGTTATCAGGTTTTCTAAGTCCAAGTTGCAAGCAGTAACAGCTGATGGATGTGACATTGCCACCTACAAAAGAGTAATTTGCACCAGAGTAACACACAAATAAATATTCTAAAAACAAACAACATAAATAAGAAAAATATTAAAAGATAATAGGGAATCTACCTGATTCAATGTTCGCACAGCTGCAAACCGTAGAGGGGGCTTGGATGTAGAGCAGAATAACTGTAGTACAGATACTGCAGGGGCAAGTTCCCTTGCTGTTGTTCGCCGTAAGTTGACCATAGCATGTGCAGCTTCATAGATGACCAACTCAGTTTTGTGTCGAAGACAACTTTCAATGAAGGAAAGTAGAGTAGAGTCAGTACCTGGTGCGCTATCATCATCTTCTAGGAGGCGACAGGCAATTCTGATCTATATGTGATAAAAGGGGCTATTTGTAGTAACTTTACACCATGATTTGTATAGTTGAATATGAATATTTTACATACTAGGAGGCACACTGCAAATGGAGATTTTAAACCCTGTTTAGTAAGGCGTGAAACAAGTTTGATGACAGCCAATCTGTCTGTTTTGCGAATATGGTACATGAGACCAAGAGCATGGTACTGCACCATTACACTGAAGGAATAAAAGTAAAAAATTATAATTGGGTACAGATCTTCAAAGAACATATACATTTAACAATACATACTTGTCAGAAGAAAATGCTTCCTGGGCTTCATTCACCCATCTCTTCACAAGTTCTCCAGCTGTTTTGGCTAAATGAAGTGAGCTAACAAGTGCAGCACTGCTGACAGCAGGATTCTTGTCAACAATAGCTTGTTTCATGTAACGTTCAATAGCTTGAAGCATTGTGACCTAAATAGGAATCAAGTTACTTCAAAATGTGTCTGATGTCAAAAGAGAGTTAAGAGTAAAGAGGCCAAAATAAAAAATTGAACTTACATCTGTGATAGAGCAAAGAGCACGTATTGCTGCTGCTCTGTACAGGGCCTCGTTTCCTGTCATATCCTTGGTAAGAGATGATGTAACAATGATAACATCCTCAGCTATTGAGGACAATTCTCTGATGCCTAGGTACACCATACGCCGTAGGACAACGTCTTTGGATTGGAATAACTTTGTCATGGCAAAGAACACCTCTGTGGCTTCGGTTGTGCCCAATATCTCGCCCTAAAATTCGAATATTTAAAACAACAAAACGCAGTAAAGTATAAAGACCAATGCCTGGTGTTGGACCTTATGCCACAAAAGTAATTGAAGCAGTAGATACCTGATTTAGTAAGTACAGCACTTTGGTGAGGATGTGAGTACATTTTCGGGGATTAACAGATGTATCATTAAATGCTCTTGCTTCTTGCAAGACTGATGTCTTTTCGATGTTTTCAAATGGGTTCCCACCACCTAGAAAGGAATCAAAACAGTGGTGTGAGAAAGCATCTCAAACCGTTAAAAATGCCATAGACAAAAACAAATTTACATTCAAAAGAGCTGAGATAAAGTTATTCCATTCAAACTTAAAACTAAAATATAGCTAAAGAAAATAAAGTGGACCTTTACAAGGAAATATCAACATAACAACAACTAAGGTTATATGGGTATAGACTTTCAAAATTGTATCCACGAATAATTTAAATAATTTGACAATGGTGTAAACCGTCATAAGGGAAAAAAGCATTGATACTCATTCTGCAGTTGTTATTCTAAAGAAAATTATCCGGGTTTATGTTGACAGCTTGACATCCCGGTTGGCATCTTTTGCCTGTTATCACAATATGGACATCAGTGATGGATGAAAATATTAAAACAAGAATACACACCATCCTCTTCTTCCTTCTTGTCTCTTTTGAAAGCCATGGTAAGAAATTAGTAGATAAAATCCCTGCTGGAGCAGAAAGATTTTTTTTCTATCCTAACCCTAAACACTCGTACTGAACACGTCAACTGCACATACGCCTTCCTAATGTACGGTTCTTTGAAACGTCAATATTAGCCACTTAGGAAAGGCGTAAATTTCAAGGAACAGAAGATCAGGGGAGAAAGGTTGAAAAATGGTGACGTCTAGCAGTTCGCGCATGCGCCGTTAAGGTGTTTTTAGTTGGAGTTTGAGTTTGTTTTGCCCGTTTTGCCGGGGAGAATCTATTTTGACTTTAGAGTTTTTGCAATCTCGCTTCAATATGAGTGGTGTAAGTAATGTATTCGCATCTACTTCTTAAATCTTAGTGGTCATTTTTATGCCTTCAGACTGTATTCCTGTGGTCAATATGTCTTTTTGAAATGTTTCGTTTTCCATGAGTGACTGACGTTAGGTTAGGATGTTTCGGTGAAGCATGCATGGTCGTTACCATTCCCAGCGTGCTAACAATAAATGCGCATTGGACTTTAAGTTGTAACTTAATTGATTTAATTTATATGATGTGCTATCATCTAGAATTTTTTTGAACGCGTATCTTGTACCCTATATCTTAAGTTCATTTGGTTTCAGAATGCTGCAGCATCCCAAGGAGATCAGAAAGAGAAGAAGAGAAAAGAGAGTATTTTAGATCTCTCAAAATACCTTGAAAAGAACATCAGAGTGAAGTTTGCCGGTGGAAGGGAGTGTGCAGGAACTCTGAAGGGTTATGACCCTCTTTTAAATCTCGTGCTCGATAACACCACAGAGTTTTTAAGAGGTATTTGTTGAGCTTACCCCTTCCCCCGCATTATTTTCTGAAATAAAATTCTCATTGAAGGTGGAAAGACTTTACTGTTGCTTGAGTGGAATTTTAATCTTTGTTTCCTTCCAGACCCCGATGATCCATACAAATTGATGGAAGATACACGCCTGCTAGGTTTAGTTGTATGTCGAGGAACCACAGTCGTACTTATTTGTCCTGTGGATGGAATGGAGAGCATTGCCAACCCTTTTGTGGCACAGGATGGATAAATAGATGTTTTATGGTTAAGTATTTAATTGGCTTAAGAATTATCGTTTTGGTTTTTATAATTATCCGTGATTTCACATAGCACTCCACTATGTATCATTTATTTACTTTATACTTTCTATAAGCTCCCAGAAATATTGTTCTCCATTTAAGAAGCTTTTTGTTTTTGACTTATTCTTATTCTAAAGTAATGCAGTACTTCTTTTCCGTACCTAGACTGAAATTGTTGTTTTCTCTCATTTCTACTTAAAATGATAAATAAATAGAACACAGATGGTACAAATGTATCATTAAACTAGTTATTTGGAAATAATTTTCTAATTTTCATTCCACAGCTAGACTTCTCATAGCAAATCATTTGAGTGTTGCCGCTGTGGTGAGGAATACCACTTGTAGATCGGCTCCCCAAAACTTCTCTCCTCTCAGTCGTTTATATAAATAGAAATCTTAATTCACTGAGCTTACTCTATTTACAATAGTTGCATGTTCTCAGTTCTCAATCATTATTTTTTTGAGCCTTAGAGAAAATCACAGTTTATTACTAAGTGTCCATGCTGCTAAGTATTTGCCCACCAAATTTAGCAAGACACCTCATTCCACATCATTCCAGAAGCTGTTTCCAGAGTTTTTGTGTCAAATTACTCTAAATTTTCACTCACCAAAAATCCAAATGAAGGATTAAGAGGCAACATCTGACACTATTTAGTGGTTGCCTGAGTGCAGCATTATGTCAGGTAGGTACCTTATGCAGAAGAATCAATTCAGCCCAGACAGGCTCTCACCCAGCGCTTCACTGGTTCGGGATCAAATGCACAGTCTTGCAAAGAGTGACAAAGTCTCTTAGGTACTACGTAGTATGACTCATATTTTGGGCAGAGTTGGATGTCAGCGGCTATCAAGTCCAAACTCGTTCCGAATCCAGGGATACTGCTCTGGACACTCTCCGCAAGTGTTTAGGTATCGTTCTCCTTGAAGGATACGACTCGTCAGCTTACACGTCTTCGGAAGGTTGCAGGCAATTTCGTTCGGTTCAAACTAGGGGAATAATTGTCAAGATTAGAAATGTTAGCCAATTTATGTGTCAAGTATAATGTGTATTTTTGTCTTACCTTACGAGGCTTGCACCCCCATGGCTCGAAAGAATTGATCTGACTTGTTGGAGTGGGTTCTCTCATCCACTGAATGGCTTGCCAATTGGTGACGAACCAGACATCTTGCATCTTACCCATGTCGCTTAAGAATTTCTGGGAGACAACACAAGCAATTGTTTATTCAATGAAATGTAATTGAATTAACAAAAGCTTGGTATTTTGACCAAGCTGAGAAAGTGCATACCTTGAAGGCGGCCAGGTACTCGGGTCGCTTGAACCATGTGGTGTGGAAATAGAGGCCGTAGGGTGCGCGGTTGGTGTTGTAGTGTCGCTTAAAGTTGTTGGTCAGCATGCGGTACACGTCCTCACCGGACAGGTGGGGCGGGCACGAGTCCACCATGGCGCAAGTGTAGCCCTGTGGGGGGCATCACACTGGTGAAGTGCTGGTCTCATGGAATGTCAAAACCCAGTGGGTCACAGTCAGCCAGCATACACCTACCTCGGTGGTGATTTGGTTGAGCGGCATCTCCCAAATGCCGGGGTACGCCCTGGAAGGGCAGCGCTGCTTGGCGCCCAGGCACTTGTGCGGGGGCTTGTGGTCCAGGGTGTACGGCCACAGCGGCGGGTCCGAGAAGGGCGCCACCATGGAGGCGTCGTAGCGGAAGCCGAACTCCTGCATCATGAGGAACTGCCGGTTCCAGCCGACCCGCAAGAACGGCACACGCATGCCTGTGTTGAAGAAGAAGCGAGATAAGGATTCGACCCCGTTCGACCCTCAGAAGAAAAGAAAGCAGACTCCTCATCACAGTCCTCACCTCGAATGTCCTCCATGCGCACGCCAGCGAAGTGGTTGAGGATGTTCGCCTGCCCCACCATCTCGTCGAACCAGTCCTCGATGGTAGCGTTGCGGCTCCACCAGTCTTCGGGGCCACGATGCCTGTCGACAGAACGCAAATTGTTGAACATTCGCGTAGAGTGTAGCAGATTCGGTGCGGATCGGATACCTTCCCTCCCGAGGGGGTTTTTACTCCAAGAAAACGTGTACAGAGTACTCCGTATTACACTGTATTATGCGGTATTACGCCGGTATTACATGACAGAAATTACCATTTTAAAGCATAATTTGAAATTTTTCGGTATTACATTGTGCGTAATACCGTGTAATACCTAGGTCAGGTGAACAGGATAATACGCAAGGTAAAACCCTCTTGTCCCCTCCCCTTTCCTCGCGCAGGGGTGTCCTTCCCCCGGCCCGGACTACTCACGTGATGGAGTGCACGGCGACCTCGTGCCCCTCGTTCCACAGGCGCTGCACCTGCTGGTAGTTGGTGTACTGGTGGCTGAGATAGAAGGTGGCCCGGATGGGGCAGCCGTTGGGGTTCTTGTGCTCGTCGGTGAAGAGCTCGCGCGTGTACAGGTCCCAGTTCTCCGTGTTGACGGCGTCGTCGAACGTGACGACGACCATCTGCGGCACCTGGCTCCGCTCCAGGTCGCCCGGGATGCGGGTGCCGTCGCGCGAGCAGAAGCACTCGGGAAGCCGGCACGAGCGAGGGTCGCACGCCGTGGAGCCGTTCGGATCGTTGTCCACGTCTGCCCAAAACAGAAAAAAATACAATATTTTTTTTGAGGTGGGGGTGGGCGGGGGGGTATGTGGATCAATTTAATTGGCACAATACTCACCACACCAGCCCTCGTCCGAGCCGTCGGGACAGTCCACGCTGCCGTCGCAGAAGTACTCGGCGGGCAGGCAGGTGCGGTCGCCGCAGCCCAGCTGCGCCTGGCCGCAGCCCGCCGCCTCCAGGAGCGGCCGCGGCACCACGACCTCAGCTACCACGTCGCAGTTGTCGACGTTCATCTTGTAGTCGCAGATCTGGCGGTTGACGTCGAACAGCAGCCCGGCGGAGCACTTGAACTCGAACACCTCGCCGTCTGGATTGGGGGGGAGGACCGTCTACAGTTGGTTGGTGACACACCTTCTCTTATCGCTCGCCCCGCGCCCAGAAGGCCCTCTTCGCGCTGGAAGATTCCGCACGCGGAGGGTCGCGGCGGGCGACATGACATTCCAGATGACGCGAACGAGACACACATGTGACACACAGCGCCGTGACACACTCACCGAGGCACAGGTAATACTTGGAGCATTCGCCGTTGGTCCACACCCTATGAGGCAGGGGCCGGGGATTCCTGTAGAAGCGGCCGTCCTCCATGCAAGGGATGTTGGCGGCGTCTGCGAAGAAAACGAGGGGAATTACTTTGGCAGGTCACGTCTCTCTGCAGCGGAGAGCAGAGCGGCGCGCGTGACGGGCATCGCTCAGCCCCACCTTGCTGCTGTTCAATGTTTTGTTTCGAAATGACGAGGAGCATGCAGAGCCATTCGAATGGTGGCGTTCGTACGAAGTGCAGCAGTCCTCAGCCACCAACGGCTGGCGTCGCGCTGCAGCGCTCCGCGGACTCGCGACCATGATGGCTCACAGAAAGTTTTTCGCTACAGTTTTGTTGGTAGGTCACGGGGTCGTCGGATGAGTTCCGACCGCGCACGATGGGGGAAGGGGGGGGGGTCACCTCGCGGTGTGAACCGGAGAACCTCCTTTTCGCCGAAAGGATCGAACATAAACGCACATGGAGCTGAAGGGGGTGGTGGGGCCCTGCCGCACCCTAGCCACTCCGCTTTTGTCTTCGTGTCTCCCGCCGCGCAGGACGCGAACATTAGACCTATTCTCTTGAAACAATGCCGGCTAACAAGCTGTTGCTGGCATTTGTTTCCATCTGTCTTGAGGGGACGCGGAGGGGGTATCAGCGCGGCTTTCGCATAAAGATCGCCTGAAATTTCTCTCTGATTGCGAAGCAACTTGTACGAAGACACATACGGCCGCGGTGACTCCCACCGCTGCCTTGCCCACTCTATCGCACGCGTGTGTTCAGACGCGGCGACTATGCAAGAATCTTTTTCTCGTTGCGGTATCGTCTTATTGTCTCCTTTCACTTTGCAGCGCTGGGCGGTGGCGCTGGGAGGGGGATAGCACAACCGGTGCGCCGGCGTGCGCGCGCGCGCGCGCGCAGTATGAGTGGCTGTCCGCGAGTACCTCGGGTGGCTGGGTGGTTGCGTAATACCCGATGTGCGCCCTCTCCGAGGGAAAGGGGGGGAGGGGCGGAGGTGCGGCGGGGGGCTACATCATCGGCTAACCTTTCCGTCTCTGTTCCGGTCAGCGGCGCATGGAGGAGCCCTCGAGGTTGGTGGCCCGCGGCAGTGAGCCACAGGGTGTGTCCGGGGAGCATTAGCGCGCCAGGCCCAGCGGCGAGGGCGCCTGTGGAGACGGGGATAGGCAACCCGCCGGCAGCCCCGCGCCGGTGCGGCCCGCCTGCCAGGGTGCGCGCGGCGCCCCCCCCCCCTTTTCCCCCGGCCGCGGCACGCCCCCTCCCCCAGACGCGCGTGGCGCAGCGCGCCGCGTCACCAACATTACCCGCATGACGTAACGCGAAGGCGGCCCGCTGCTGCATGGCACATCGCCCTGCCCTGCCCGCTGTCCAGCTGTCCGGCTGCTGTCCCGCGCGGGGCAATCACTGCTGTCCCCGTGGGGACCAGAGAGGGCGACCCCCCGGGCCCTTCCCCTGTGCGCGGCTTTCACGTGCGTCAGGCGGACGAGACGACGGCGAGCATCTCGTAATAGTGCGCGCGCAGTGACTGTGGGGACGAACGACGCCGCCGCTCTTGCCATGGCCTGCTGCACTGTCCCCTGCTCCAGGCGCAGGCGTCCAAGCCCGCCGCCCGGACAGCGGCGGCAACGTAACGTAATGTGCCTCAGCCTGCCCCCCCCCCCTCCCCCAACCTCACCTCACACACTCTAACACCCGTCATTATCAAGAGTAGTTTTGTATGGAGTTACTGCCGAAAGCAAACCCTCCCCCCAATCAGGTTACGAAACCGGAATTGGACGGTGTGGTGTGTCGCGCCACGTCGATCGAGAAAGCGACGGCGGCGCCGCGGAGGCATACGATTGTCGCTCGTCCTCCGATAAACAACACGAGTTGTTTACAGTTCGTCGCTGGAGGCGTGGTGAGTCCCCTCTGGGTGCTCGCAGGGAGGGGCAGCAGCAGCAGCTCCAGCAGCGCGCCAGCGCGCCTCCATCATCGGGGCCGCCGAGTGCGAGAGAGATGGGCTGTACTTGTGGTGCTCTCACTCTCACCCGGCGGCGCCGCCTGATTTCTGGACGCTTCTCGATACTGCAGAGTGCAGTGCCTCGCCTCTGCGGTTTGTGCGGGGTCGACCATAGCTGATCGTTTCAATTATTGTATCTTTTATTGTTTTTTTTTTTTCCCGCGACGGTGATCCACAGTAGTCTAGTGTGTGGCTAGCGGCAGTTTTTTTTTGTTTTTTTTTTTTTTGTTTTTTTGGCGAGGTCGACAAACCCCGCGCGCGCGGAGAACCAGTCGTCTCTCCTGGTGGAATCACAGAGGCCGCGGGTCGGGTCAGGTCGGGGGGGACAGGGCTTGCCCCGCCTCGCCCCGCCTCGGCCCGCAACGCCCCGCCCCGCCCCGCCAGGCACATTGATACTTTATTCCGCGGAGCCGAACGACCCCGGGGGCGTGACGCGTAACGTCTGTGGGCCGCGGGCCCCGCGCGGGGCCGCGAGCACATTCCCCGCGCGCCCGCGCGTCGTCGTTCGCCAAACGTGAGAAAGGCCGCGGTACCCGCCGGTGCCCGCCGCCATTCATATATACGCGAGGTGGCCGTGCGTGTGGTGGACGTGCAGTTCGAGTGCCCCGGCGGGGCGGGGTGGGGCGGGGGCAATGCACACGGCCGGGGCGTACGTGAGCGAATGGCGGGTGGCGTGGTGGCGCTGCGCGGCCGGCGGGGGGAAGCCCCTGGAGGCATGCCAAAAACAACTGTACTGTGTATACACTCGGGGGGCGGATACAGGTGGATGGATGCCACCGTCCATATAACCCATCATGTAACCCGAGTATGGCAGAACGACAATGACCCCCTCCCCCCTTACCCCCCCCCTCCCCAAATGTCGCGCACGTCCGACTTCCACGGGGCCATTATGCCAAATAAATCGCGGTCGCACTTAGATAACACCCGCCGCGAGCAGTGTGATTGTTTCCGAACAAGAAGAAGACTATCCGAACCGGCCCGTGAGAGGGATCACCCAGAAAGTACGTGCGTCCACCGAGCGTCACGAGCCCGCCAATCATAGCAGGCTCTGCGGTGCCAGCTCTCATAGCGCCTGGTGGGTAGGCCACGTCATGCCTTGCAGCGCATGCGTGTATTGCGGGGCGGCCTACCCTGAGGCTCGCAGGCGCCGTAGCTCCTAGCAATTAGCCGCATGCATCTGAGGGGAAAACAACAAAAACGGACGTGCTTTCTGGACGACCCCTTTTGTCGCTACCCGGGACCCGCAAGCGCGCGCGCCCGACCCGTGGGGACCGCGCAGGGTCCTGGTGGGCCAGCCGCCGGAGGGGATAGTGGGTGGACGACCGCGGAGGGAAGGACCAGGCCGCCCTGCTCCGCTCACGCGACCTGACCGGCGGCGAGGCACCGACGCTGCCAGTGAAAGTAGGCCCGTCCCGGCGTCCCGTCCCGGCGGCGTCCCGTCTCGGCGTCCCGTGCCCCATCCCATGGCATCCCAGCGCTTGCAAGCGCCATGCGACGCCGCCGTGCGGCGCAGAAAATAGAGAGAGAGAAAAAGAATACGGACAGGGGGGACAAAAGAGACACACAAATGTCACAGCGGTTTTCCTTGTTCACAATTCTTTCTTCGCCTACAAAATTTTAAGATGATTGTTAAAAAGTCACAGCAAAGTCGGGGAGAGGGGAATTTTTGAGGGCAGGCAAAACGTACGCCCAGCGCGGGCGTGATCATACTGTGGTCACACCGCTCTGAACGTGTTAATTATCGTCGATTCTCCCGCTTGTGACCGCGGCAGGCCTTACGAGGTTTTGTTCTCCGAGAAACTATCGTGGGAGACCCAAACGCGAGGACTGGACAAGAGCGGCGGTGGCGACGGCGGCGCGGCGGTGGGAGCTGGAGCCGGGCGGCGCGCCGGCGCACATGGAGATTGCGAAACACGCGACACGACGGTGACGTCAAATCAGCAAGTGCATAGTGCGCAGCGCACCTGCAGGCTTACTACGAAAATGGCGAGGAAAGTTACGGTCCATACGGCCAGGGTTATGCCACTCGGTCCCGGGGGCGCCAGCGGGGCCAGGACCGTTCCCATACGCGGGGCGGGGGCGGGGTCCGGCCGCGGAGGTGTGTGATACGGCGATGACGGCACGACGGGCGTGGCGTGGCGTGGCGCGGACCCTGACACGCATTGACACCCCCAGCGCAGCTCCCCCGGGTCCCCGAGCACGCCGCTCATCCGATGGAGGTTTCCAGCCGTCATGGAAACCATTAAACGGGGCTTTCTTTCTGCCGCCTCACGATCAGCCGCGCCGCGCGGCCCGAGGCCGAGGTGGGGCAGGGCGGGGAGTCACGCAGAGGCCTCGTAGGGTGCCGACACAACCAAGTTGGAACGCGTGCGACCAATGGTCAATGGTGTGCGTCAAATTCATTCAGCTGATATTGAGCCAATAACAGAGTGGAGCCGTCGAGGAGTGTCAGTGATTCCAAAGGCGCGCAGTGCCATGACGGTGGTGGCGGTGGTGGCGGCCGCGCTCGCCGTGTTATGGAGGGACGAGCCTAGGGCCGGGGCGAGGCGGGGCGTGCCGGTGGCATCACTGCGGGGCACACACACCAGGCACTTGGACCGGAATGTAACCCGAGCATCACTCTCGCTGCCCGGCCAGCGGCGGCGCGGCCCGCGTGGACCCGCCGCCGCCGCCGCCACTTTCTCCCCCCGCACACGGCCGCCGGCGCGTCCTGCGCGCGCGCGCCGCGCACCGAGGCGCCGCCGCGGGTCAGCTGATCGCTGCACAGCATCCAGCACTCCTCCTCGCCGACGAGATGGCACGGGCGCCTGGCAAGCGCAGCTGCAGACCGGCTCGCACACGGCGCGTCTCCTCGGCAGCACCTACCCCTACCCTTCCCTGCGGCTGCGGCGCCTTACACCCGCGACACCTTGCGCCGCCTTCCCTCCCTCTAAACCACGAGCACCAGCCTCACTCTCTTGCTCAGACTCGCTCACTCACTCACTCACTCACTCACGCACACACACCTGCAGCCGCGGTGGCGAAGACGAGCACGGCGCCGAACGCTGCGAGCGCGAGCAGCTGAGCTCTGCGCGCGGGGCGTCTGGACCCAGCTGTAGCCATGGTCACGGCCGGAGCAGCACTGCGAGAGGCGCAGTCAGGCGCCACTCGCCCGGCCCGATCCGAACCACTCCCGCTGCACCGCCCCCCAGCCACCAGCCACCCGCCCCCCATCCCCCCCGACCCGCCCCAACCGCTCCAGTCGGCGTGCCGGCTCTGGCCTGTTGTCCGAGTGAGAAACGGGCAGGCATCCTGTGAGTTCACAGAATTGAGGGCTGGACATATAAAGCAACGCATGAATGTCAACAGAAAAATAAACTTTTATTTCGGCTAAATAGTCTGCATATAAACCTCGATACCATAAATAAATTTCAGAACAGTCAATAACAGTGTGACAATTTTGCACAATAGCTAACAAAATGCTCGGTTTGCTTTTTTTTCAACAATGCCTCGGAGCATTCAGTCTTATCTTACAACTAAAATTTCACTAAACCAATGGCATTTAAAACACATTAAAATGTTACAGTACAACAAACCATAAAGCTAAGTGTGAGCACAACACATTGACAGCACAACATAGAGACTAAAATGACACAAGTCTTTATTAATATTATTATCTATTATTTCAACATTCAGAGACATTACACCCATATGACCATAGAGGCTATTGAGCAGTTAACAATTTTCAGCATATCATTATCACGGAGTAGTTGTCTTTATGATTCCCAAGAGGAGAAAAACATATACATTTTGGAAGAGGGTAATACAGTAATATTATGCTACCATTCAGGTATTACATTCAATCGTCAAAATAGAGAGCTTTCCATTAAACAAGAAAGAACTGAATATTTATTACAACATGGATCAAAGAACTTGTATACTCATCAAGAGATTTGAATGTTGCAAAGAAAGAAAACAAAAACATCTTAAGGGTAAACAACAGAAAACAAAATTGACAACAAAGATCAAATTTTACAGACAGGACTAGAACATTCAAAATGAATTATGACAAAGGCACATTGACTTGTACTAAAAAAGAAATCTAAAAGATGGAACGTATTTAGAGTAAGAGTAACAGTGTTGGAAAGACAAAGAAATCACACTTACTACTGTAGTACAGTATATAACAATGCAAAAATAACAAGATGAAGGTGAATTATGTAGGCTACGCAATCGACAGGGACAGTACTTGTGAAATGTGAAAAATACAACAAAACATAGGAAACACAAAGTAATTTTGCTCACCACAGTATTCTCATGCTTATAACCAGCAATATAGAGCAGTACCTTCTTGTCTCATTCAAAAATCAACAGAGCCAAATAAAGTGGCCAAATGGAATGTTTCTTACACTAGAAATATGAATATGGTCACATACAAAACTCCCTTATCTACATTGCTCAGTGCATCAATGCAGTTCAACTATAGAAAGACAAATAGATCAAAGGTACACTTCATAACAGAACAGTGAGAGAGTGTTTCTATATGAAAGTCAGTCCAATATGTATCCTATGTCAGTATGACTAAAAAAACAAGAAAGAAAATGAATATAATGAAAATTTGATAAACTATTATATAGTACAATAGTTGGTGTTATGATCTACATAAAAAATAATATGGGTGGAGGGTTTTTCTTTTATAAATGAGCAGTAATAATACTAGTATTCAGCAAAAAGTCAATTTGAAATTTAGGCACAACTATCATAGTTGCTCTAGTGACATATTAGACAAAACATATTGCCATTGGTAGGTATATGTAAACTGACTCGATTGAATATTCCCAAAATTTAATATCACTGAAAACTCGAGCATTGACAATAGCAAAGCAGTTGGCACAGAATGTTCATAATAATACCACTTAAATTAGAACAAGCCATATAAATAAATGGACAAGTGGAAAAAATACTTTCCTTTTGAATATTGTAACTACCTCATGAAATAACCATACAGTTCAAAGACTGCTTTGTGTACTTAGGTATCTGCACTGATCAAGTGGTTCCAGATTGAGCACTATAACATTTTTTCATAAATTGTCACCTACAACATCATGAAAATATAATAGGATGGCACATATTAGACCTTGCTAGAGAAACAAACTCTACAAGACATAATTTACAATTCAATTGGTGCTAATACTGATTTAATCCAGACATTGTATGTATGGATTTTCAAGGATCAGTCACAGTTAATTCAATAGGCGGAATAAGTTTCCATGTGTGAGCAGGTGTAGACTCAGTGGCGTCTCCTGGAGGATGAGCACCTGAACAGTTACCTACAGAAGAACACTGGATGTCTATTTTATACAAACCTGGCATGAAGAAAACAACATTGCATTCGTGGTATACACTGCTTTGATCGTCCAACTGTAATACAAACAGAAATAATTAGAGGACGTAGGGAGACAATAATCTAATCTGATTGAGGTAGTAATGAATAATATAATCACCTGAGTAATTAACACATTTGGAGCACCAGCGACAGCTAGTTGTGAATCTAGTCTGTAGTTCCTTATACCACTCTGATACTCTTGGAAGAACTTCAAAGAAAGGGCAACATTGTGAAGTGGCCAATCCAAATAGTTCTGAACTGTTACACCAAGTTGTAAACATTGACCTGCCACACATGTCAACTCTGATAAAGGCTTGGCTATTTCCTTATTTAGAAGTACCTCTGTAATACAGAAACAAAAAGTTTCTAATTAAAAAGGCAGTTTACATCAAATGTAAACAATAATCTTCTGTAGGTAAGTATACGTACCCCATTGCAATGGTGACATTCTGACAATATCTAGCATATCAGAAGTAAGAGGCAATCCACGCAAGGAGGCTTTCCCACTCCTGTTACTCACAGGTAAAACCCACTTGAGGTCAACAAGAGAGGCTACATGATCACTGCACACTGAATCCAATTCTGCTTTCTCAACATCAGTTAGTTCAATGTTTTGGTACAACTGTTAATTTGTTAAAATAATTCAACACTATTACTCTATTTGACAGTATTTCACAAAAATAATTTCTTAAGGGCATGACTTATTTTTATCACCTTTGATAGCTTGGAAAGAGGGCAGCGTTCCACAGGTACAGCAATACGGCATTCTTCATTTCCCTCTAGGAGCATAACTTTCCCATCAGCGTAAAAGAGTTCTAATTCTCCCAATGTTTTGTTGGTAACGTCCAGTACCAGATAAAATTGAGAGCTCCTACATATATATAAGGAGACAAAAATTAAGATCAAATTAAGATAAATTTAATTTTAAAACAACAATTTAAATAAAGAACAAGAAGCGTTCATATAAAATACACACGTTTCAGCTGGTAGAACGTCCCAGCTTGTAATAAGAATAGATGGCAAAATTTCTAGGCTGAGAGAAATTGATTTAACACGGCAATAGCCAGCTTCCAAACCAGGCCCTCCTGAGTACCTTAGCTTCAACTGGCAATCTATGACCTATGCAGAATAAATGAGTTTTTAAAAGTCAAAATTTGAATACAATCCTGCCTTGTGTTTTTGAGCATCAGTATTAGACAAGACCTACTTTTGGTGCAGATGGGTCATAAATCTTGGGGTTGAGCCTTGATGATCCAATGCTACTACCAGAGCGACTACTTATTTGGGAGCGAAATGAGCCTGATGACAACTCATTGTGATGAGCATGACGAGATGGCTGAGGTGTTGATGCTAAGGAGCTAAGGCGGGATGGAAGTGAGCTGGGCCCTGAGAGAAGGCTACTTGGCTGGCTACCACCATCATTCACTGAAATACATAAAACAAATTAACAACATTCCAGAGAGAATGAGCTAAGTTTCAGGTATCAAAAGTACCATCACTGCGTGGGGGAGCAATATACTCTGCATGTCCGTGCAGATAAAGAGTAAAGCTGGCTGATGCTCCTGGATGTAATGGAAGTTGTGCTTGAATATTATCTGCACTCCACTGCAAAACCTGTTTTAACTGACTTGGATCCAACACACATTGAGCTGATATTTCCAGCAGTTCAATGGGTTGGGATCCAGAGTTTAATATTGTGACTTGACATTCAGTGCTGCGATAGGAAAAACATACAGATACATAAATGTTCTTTTAAAAATATAGGAAGAGCTAAAAGATGAATGATTGAATCAACTGAAAGATTACTAAATACCTTTCACCGGCATAGAGAGATTTAGAAATGGTGGTAATAGAAACTGATGCATCCACTGGTGGTAGTTGTAGATTATTATTTTTTTGATCATTAGTTGACATCTGATTGAGAAACATGGCAAAAGGTGAGGAATACTAACAATATGGACACAGAATCTTGGATAAAATTTTTGAAGGCTGCAAACAAATCTCACCTCCATATGAGGCAGGGCAGGGACAACTTCCACAGTAAATGATGGTTGAGGCATGTGACGCATATGACGAAGCTGACAGTTAGATTTCACACCAAGAGTATGAGTTGAATAACCTTAGCAAAAGAATATTTTGTTAAGAGCACTATTTTATTTGTATATAACAAGACTTACTGGTAAGTGGTATTACCTTGGATTTCAAGCTCTCCTACTTCTTTAGGAACACCAGCCAAAACAACAGTATTTGGACCAGAGTCAGGGGGAAGAACAATTGATGATGGAATGCTTTCAAAGACAACTTCACTTGCTAACAATCTCTAAAAAGAACAAAGAAGTGATCAATAGGGAGGAGGCATCTGACTACTTTAACATTATAGTCTTAACAAAAATGAAATTTACCATGTTGGAAACTTTTAGTTCAAATGGTAATGGATTATAAAGATCCAACAGCACTTCACACATGTCACCTTCGACCCAAACATAGTCTGAAATTAAAACAAAATGACATTAACAATTGTATGCTTCATGCATTAGACATACCCTAAAGTGTTTCAACTTACCCATCCTGCTCAGAGATTTGGTGCTTTTGCGATCCAGGGAACCAAAAGAAATAGGAGTGTACAAAAACGGTCCCATGTCCTCTTTCAGCTTTTGTATTTTTTGAGGCCTAAGATGCAAAGGCAAATCCTGGAGTCGAAAATTCCTGTAGACAAGGAACAGAAATTCATACTTAATGACCTCCTAAAAAATGTTTGAAGCAAATTAAATGAAACATACTTTGCCAATGGAATATTTGTTAAATTTGCAGGAGGAATAACAGCACGGGAGTCTAAGACTAGGGGGACTGGTGCCCCCTCACATTCTGAAGCAAGCTTTTGAAGCTGTTTTGTCAGTTCTCGCTGCTCTTTTGGGTTCAAGTGATGCCACATAGTTTGAAGTAGAAAAGTCATATGACGTGTTGCAAGAGCTGAATGACCCATTCTTCTAGCAGCAACAACCAATTGTTGTAGGAGATGAATTTGCAATGCAGGCCAGCCCTCAGCAATGCCACCTAGAAAAGAGTTCATTTCCAATTTACTTTATGGACACTGTTCCATCATTCATTAGAATCTAAGCTATCTTAAATTTTACCAGTCGCGCGTTCTGTTGGATCAAGTGACAGCCTATGTCCATCTAATGCTTGAAGCATCAGATTGTAGCACTGAGTCCAGTCAGGCTGTCTGTTTTGATCTGACACATGCCTAGTAGCAGCTAGCCTTCTACATAGAGAAGCTTTTCGATGAAATCCCATTTGAGTATAGAGCTCAGAAAGACTGAGAAATCTCTGGATCTAGAAAGAAAAACATTTTGGCATGATATATCTAAACATAGCATAATTGGCTGGTTACATGTTATAATGTATTTTCTTGATAAATACCTTTTCTTGTTCAGTGAGTGTTAAATTGATAAGTACAACATTTTTCAGAAATGATGCAGCTTGTAATGGACAACCTTGTTGTATTGCAATTTGAGCTGCTTTGAAACAAGCTTCTGTTTCAATCATTCCAGCACTTTGATACTAAACAAATAAAATTGAAATCAAAAAGAGAACATTCAAGATACCCCCAGATATCATGTCTCAAAAGATATTTACTTTTGCATAGTTTTGAATGGCTTCTTGATATCTCCTCAGGATGCCTTCAGGAGAAAGAGCTTTAGGTGCATCCTCAACAATAGGAACTGGGGTTAGTGACCCTAGTGGAAGTGAACTCGGTCCAATCAAACCAGGCCTGGTTGGGATGTAAAGTTTAAAATATTTGAGTAAAAAAGCAAGAACAGATAAATTAGTGAAACCAGTTTGATTATTACATGATAATCGTAATAATAAAATTGTCTATTTTCAACACACCTGCGTTTTCCAGGACTTGGTGGCAAGGAAGCATTGCGCTGGATAGGAAATGTCCGCCATCGTCCTGGGTAAAGAACTATAACTGATGCTGAACACAGCCCCTCGGCAGCACCTATGGAGATGGTAAAATTTGAGATGATGCCATTCTTTTCCCAAACAAGTAACTTTTATAGATTAACAGATATTTACCCCCAAGCCATAGCCAATCATTAACAGAACGTAATGTGTCAAGAGCTGAAATATAATGTTGTAAAGCTTCATGGGGAACTCCAGCCTGGAGACTGAGGTCGCCAAGATGTTTAATCATGCGACCCATACATTTCTTTTTGTTGGTTCTTGACTCCAAATCCAAACCAACTATGTCTTTTCTCTCAAATGGAGCCAAGAGTAGAGGGACACGATCTAGCTTTTCACGACTTCTCTCCTAAATAAAAAATAAAAACATGTAAATAACAATGAAAGAAGGGTAGAGGAACATTTAAATCCAAGAGGAGAAAAGAAGAGCACAGCCATTCATCTCAGACAATTGTTAATATGAAACTGCAGCAGTATATGAGGGAAAAAGGAATGCAACAAGCTAGAATCCATTTTCATCTGAATCAAACTATATCTACAGATTGTCCTCAAACCCTCTAGTGCATAAGCTCAAATTTTAATTATAAGTAAGTTTTATTTGCATTAGAACTTTTTGCTTGCACACACATGTAATTATCACACCAATTCAATGACTTGATCGCAGTAAGCTGGGTATAACACAAGGCAAATAAACTTGAGCTGCAGGCAAGTGGACTTTGCTGTAAAAGGCACATTTGCAAATTACATGACATTTATTTCATCACTCTAATGTTATGAATCAATTGCACTTTTGCATGAAGATTTCATAAAGCATTAAAACAGCCAAATTTTATCAACCCATATGCCATTTGCAAAGCACACAAGTTACTCAAGAACAAATTGATTGAAGTCATTTGCATTAATTAATTTTGAAAGGTAAGCAAACACGATGTTTTTACTAGAACAAGACACAAAGGGGTCCTAGCTCTGAACGAACATGCTAAAACCTAAACCATATTCATATTCAAGACCTGTGAATGAGAACGATGCATCCTGGAGAAGAGGGGTGAAACACCAGAGAAAAGCTGAAAGTAGAGGGTAAATATTTTGGTAAATTAAGATATCATAGAGAAGAATATGAACACCTGTCCCTGCTTTCCTGGGTATGCAGAGTCAAATTACTCTTTTAAATGCAAACACTTTAAGAGAAAATAAACCTTTTCCAGAGAAAAGCACATTGTAAGTAACATGCACAGAAAGTTAGGGCAACTTTTTCAAGATTTTTATGTACACATCTTGCATTGAATAACCTTTTCATTTAAATTTAAAGCCATGATTATATTATATTTTTTTTTGTTCAGAACAAAAGCTCAAAAACAAGGGGTGCAGGTGAGGGGTAAATAGTCATGATCCGGACAACCCAGAGAGTGATTGTAGGATGGATTGGAAAATTACATGATTGAAGATTAGGATGTAGCACACTTCATGCAGCACTCTTTGACAACCTGTGTAAAAAATTGAGATCCATTGAGTTGTCTTGCAATCTCCTGCTGCAATGTTGCATCTGTCAGCAGCTGCAGTATTGTCATGATATAAGAAAGGATCATGATATAATCTTAAGTGTAAAGGTCAAATTGTGCATAAGAAAGGATGTGGAAGTCTCTTGACAATAGATCTATTACTGAAGTTATATTTCCCAGAAGTATAGGCAAATTTACGAAGACAATGAATTCTTACCTGTCGTTTTGATTCTAGCACCCAAAACAGTGAGTTCAAGAGTTCAGAAACTTGAGATTCCAAATCTGAACAAGACTCAACATCTGAATACCAGAGAGGCAATGATTTGAAGTTTGAAGGAGTTTGCAATTCTTCATTTTCCTTTCCAAATAGAATGCAACGTGAATCATAGAGTGTTGTTGTGTACCTGACTTTAAGTGACTCATGAAATCTACAGATTTCATTTAGGTCAGTTTGAGACTCGTACTGACCTGAAATTTATTGCAAGATATAAAGTGAAAAATAAGCATGAATTGTGCTTCAGATGTTTCATATTTAAAAGATTCCTTACCAACTGAAATAAGGCCAAGTAATCGGCGGTGTGTTTGAAATTCCCCCCAATCGTTGCTTTCAACAGGATAGTCCTTGACATAACGAATGTAAACTTGGCGGGTGACTCCAGCTGAATCTGTCACCTTTGTATGGTTTACTCTTCGGATTTTGTCCCATACTTTAGTGAATGACTTTGGTTTCAATAAACCTTCTGCAAAACAGATAAGGTTTATAGATATAGTAAGCCAGGAAATAACTTAGAAATCATTCTCAGTTTGGACAGACCTTGATGATGAACAAGAATAAGAATGGAGGCGTGATCTTGGGCAATCTGGTCATAATCTGGATGAGACATTCTTGTGTCTGGTGCTGGGCTGGACAATATATAACTCACTGATGATCTCATTGGTGCGGATGTAATATCTAAGCAGAAGGAAGTACACGGAAATCAATTAAAGTTGAAGGAAGTTCAAGAAAACAGAGAAAACTTCAATGGTGTGTGCTCTCAATACAAACTGTCAGTGTCATAACTCAATGATAGCACTTTGTACAAAATAAAAAGAGTAAACAAACGTTAACCTCATTACCCACCAATATAGCACAGTCCCTGAAAGCACATGGACTGAAAAGACTCCCATGATTAATAAGCGGTAAAAATTGAGACAAGAACACTTCATACAAGAAAAAGTACAGAAATACTCGACAAGTAAGAATTAGACATAGGGTTATCAATTGACGAAGTTGACACCCCTTTCCCTTATGACACTTGTTTGAGGTGGCACAATTTAATTTTTTTCGAGTAATCTTGTATGTGTGATACAACTATTATCAATTCATAGTCTGTATCTTACCATTATGCAAACAACAGAAGAAGAAATAACAGCGGTATCCGACATCTAAACGCAAACTATATTTTTGTGATCTTTACTCTGAGGTTATTGTTTTCTTTTACAGTGTCCTTTAACTTGAAGCTTGCATTACCAACAAAAAAAAAATAACAGCAATAGTGTACGGCAGTGTTGCCTCTCTATACATTTATCGTCCTTTTTTTCTTTTGACTTCCCTAAAATAGAAAAAAAATAGTTCCCCCACTTTTTGTCTTTATTTTTGTCAAAATTGTCAGCATATTCATCGTATTTCATTGTTTTAGGTTGATACGAGACCACTGTAAATAATTTCAAGCTAGCTATCGACAGACAAAAAGAAGCAGAAGACACTCGGCCTTGCAGGAAGAAGTTGTGTGTTTATATTTGATTTAGCTGAAGACCTGAAGACAGAAAAACGACTTTTCATATATGCCATTTTCGACGCTAATTTGACGAAATATGGCAGGTATTGACGATTATCAGAATTATAAAAACAATAAGTTTAAAGATTTGCGTGATGATGCAGACTCCGGCTGGGAGCCTGCATTTCCTGAAGGACTTACTACACCAAGTCGCAGTATTCGTCCCAGGGAGTTAGAAATAAAACCTCGAGTTCCACCACGCTCCCCAGAGGAAGATGAAGGTATGTTGAATTCTGACTCTTCATATTTTGGATTCAAAATGATCAACATGTTGCATCAAAATCCCCGTATCTTTATTACAAACTGAATCCTTTTATACCATTAAAACCCCTGCTTTGAAGGTTAGCTTGTCATAGTAGACTGATGAAATTTGTTTCTACCCTGATTGAAGCGTGATTTTATAGAACATCCTCTGTTATTTAAAACCTGAGTCGTGCATATGTGGTCCAGTAACGTTTTCCTTGGTTTGCGTCTATATAACTATTGAGTTCTGATTATGTAACCATTTTTTTTAATGTCTATGAGATTAATTTTAAAATATTTTAATTCACTTTTTTTATTTTTAGAAGCAGCTGTTCGACGATATGTTGGTGTAGGTGTGGGTCTTGCTACGCTAATTACTGAAAATCTCCTCAGTCATCCTTTTGTAGTACTTAGAAGACAATGTCAGGTAATATGCTTGACTTTACTTGAAACATGAAATCATGGAGCTGACTGCCAGACCTGGTAAGCTGAGAAGAGACATAATTTTTTTATGATTTTAGGTTCACAATGCATCCAGCCGATACCATTTGGTTCCAATTACTTTAGTCCCTATCATTATTCACTTGCATCAACGACAGGGAATCACTACTCTATGCAAGGGATTAGGCTCAATTCTTCTAGTTCGAGGCATGACACTTGCTGTGGAAGACCTTATTTCTAAATTCACTCCCTGGCCAAAGTATGAATTTGAATTATGTTACGGTTGTCCTTATAAAATTTTCATTTACTACTTTGACTAATGAACTATTTTATCCAGGTATCTTTAACTGTTTGGTTGACTCTGTTACAGGGAGGTAAATTCTGAAAGCTCTTTGAAAGCATTTGGACAACATATTCTGTTGAAATGGTAAATTGGTGATTAATTATTATTTTAAAGTATGTCCTTTCTTGGGGAAAACTGATGATTCTTTTCCTAACTGTAGCATAAGTCTGGCAATTGTCACTCCTTTCTACTCTGCAAGTCTAGTTGAAACGGTTCAAAGTGACATAGCTAGCGAAAAGCCTGGCATTTTTGATGTTTTCAAGGAAGGTGTGGTTAGGCTGGTGAGCTGGGGCTCTCCTCAGAAAGGTAAGAGCTCTTAAAATAGCCAAGTACTAGTTACACAATTTCAGTTTTTGATCAAATTGATAACATTTTGTTTTTTGTTTCTAGGACGAATGTTGCCTGTGTGGGCACTTGTGACACCTACAGTTATGTACGGACTTTTGAAATATCTTGTGTGTCTGTTCACAAGGGGTGTTACTAGCCGTGTACTTCACCAACAGAGACGAGCCATAAAAGAAAGACAGGTAAGTGTTGCCAATTATTTTAGCAAGTGCATTTTAGCACTTTATTTTGAGATTAAACTTTCCAATATTTTGTTTCCTCTTGTAACTGAGATGAATGTTTGCAGGGAGCTTTCCCCAGAGAAATGGCTCAAACATCAGAAGACATTGAAATCACATCTTCACTTGTGGGACTTGTTACAGCAGATGTATTGCTTTTCCCACTTGAAACTATCTTGCACAGGTTTGTTTTTCTTGCAGACAGTGATGAGCTCACGTCCTTTATTGCATCAGTACCGATCTTCCTCATTTAAGTAACTAATTTTATCCTTCTGTAAAGGTTACACCTACAAGGCACAAGAACAATCATTGACAATTTGGATTCTGGCTATGCTGTGACTCCTATTCTCACAAGCTATTCTGGTATCAGGGATTGCTATCGAACAACTATTCAACAGGAAGGGGTCCCCGGACTGTATAAAGGCTTTGGGGCCTTAGTTTTGCAATTTGCTGCTCATGTTGCAGTTATAAAACTTGCAAAAGTAATGCTAACAGAACTTGGGCGCCTCTTGAGTGGCAGTGGCGGTAATGGAAGCCCAAAGCCTCCAACTCCTCAAGAAGAAATTATTACAGAATCATTTAGGCCACAGTCATACCCTTATGCACAGCAGCAAATACCCTCTTACCCTCGTCAGCAGTATCCCAGGTATCCACCAACAGATCTATCACATGCCAGTACTCCGTCTGGAGATGCTGCTCACCCCCAATTCTTCTGGACACATTAGTTTTTTTAAGCCGATTCTCAATCAAAGAAGCAAAGCTTTCAAGATCGACATTTTATTTGATGGTAACATAAGATGCAGTGTGAGCTAATGTAGTGAACTTATCTAGTCCTTCATGGATACTTAATTTGGAAATGTGGAAATCAAAAAGCAGCATCCATTGTATGTTTTGTAATTGCCACAAGGCTCTGGAGTGTATAATGTTACAGTAGAGGGTTTCATATTTATTTTGGTATTATATCAATGTACAATATATTGAGACACATGTCATGTCACTCTAAGAGTTGTGCTGTTTGTGTAACAAATTGGGAAATTTGGCATTGCCAGATGCCAGGGTGTTGATCTTCAAGATCATCTTTTCCATACCAGTGTATTTTATGATAAAGTGGTTTGTATAAATAAATTTTTCTGTTAGTTGTATGTTTTTGTCCAGCATTTGTCTGTGTTATGTACAACAGGTCTTAAAGCAAGGTGTTATAACAACATTAAATCAAGTGAAAAATATGGTGTATTTGCTCAATTCAATACAGTAGAGCTAATTCAACCTGAGAATAGTAATGAAAATTTAACAACTAATTTTGCTTCACAATTTTTAACTGAAAAAGCACACTTGAAAGGCGGTCCAGATATTAAATAAATGAACAATAGACAAAACCAAACCTAAACAAGGTAACTAACTTGAAGTACATGGATAAGTACATATCAGAGGTGCAGGCTTGTCGCAGATTTAGTTTAAACTTAAATACTTAGAATTCTACTGGTTTATCTGCAATAGTAAAGAGATTACATTGCTTTGCAGTTTTAACCAAAAAGAGTCGAATGGAAAATACGAATCACATTATCAAACAAAAGTAACTTACTAGATGTTTAATCTACAACTAGATTTTAAAGCCCAAACTCCTCATGCATTGCTTGTGGGCCTCTATGAGATCCCCACACTCAGATTCTCCCTTTTCAATGACACTAAATAGAGGTGAGAGAAAAAGACATGGCATTCGTTAAACTTTGAAGTAAAATTGAATGAAAGACAGACAGAGAACCATAACCTACACTTACCACTCATCTCGTAACTTTTTCGTTTCTGGACAAGCACAACATGCTTTACATTTTGGCTTTTCTGCAGGGGCGGCTTTTTCCGGCTCAGTCTGTGCTGACGGTGACCCCATGATCGACGATAATCCCAATCTTTCGAGCATTTTGTTGCAGAAAGAACGGATTCAATGTGATGCAATGGATGAAATGACGTCGTCTGCCAGACCAGCCGCTTCGCTTTGTTTGACTCGAAGTCGAATGACGAATTCGAGACATCGCTCTCAATTCGCGGTTGAATTTGAATGCTTACTCCTGGCTCCAGCTCCAACTTTCGTTTCTAGACTGTGATGATAATTTTACGCCGTAGAACAAATGGAACGGCCTCAGAAAGTAACAGTATTTTTGTGGTGATTCTGAACTATTCCGAAGCCATTAATTGCACTCCGTGATAATTGTACCCCCCCCCCCTACAGCCCCTACGAAGAACAATCATGTAGGGTCCATTCCCTATATTCTGGCAGAGCGGCTAGGCTTTGCTTTCCGGCCGTCTTTGTTAGGCTCACAAACACCGTGGTCGAAGGGACGATACCCGAAAGTTAGAGTGGCCACCTCTCTGAGCCGAGCCTGGGCGTGCGCATTGTCTAGGAGAGAGGAGCCCCACCATGAGACTAGTCTCATGGCCCCACGCAGGTCGGAAGGACGGTTGGACACTCTACATCGGCAGGTAAACCCTTATAACGCACCGGAACACACCCTGCTAATGAGTTACACAATTAATTGCACTCCGTGATAAACGCCAAATTCTCGGTGCGCACCTGCGTAGGCGACATTTCTTAAAGTACCGTGTGTAGAGCATTTGGGTCACGGTGTAGAGAGATACGGTGGGGACACTGGGCCGCTCCGGGCCTACCTG